ACTACTACTAGTACTACTACTACTACTACTGGTACTACTACTTCTACACCTACTACTATGACTACTATTACTACTACTACGACTACTACTATGGTTACTACGACTACTACGAGTACTACGACCACTATGTCTACGAATCCGTCAACGACTACGCCTACGGCGGCTACTACTGCTACTACTGTTTCTACTACTAGTACTACCACCACCACCACTACTTCTACTTCTACTTCTACTTCTACTCCTACTTCTATTTCTACTTCTACTTCTACTTCTCCTTCTACTTCTACTTCTACTTCTTCTACTACTACTACTCTAACTATCACTATTACTACTACTACTACTACTACTACTACTACTACTCCTACTCCTACTCATACTACTACTACTACTGCTACTACTACTACTACTACTACTACTACTACTACTACTACTACTACTACTACTACTACTACTACTACTACTACTACTACTACTACTACTACTACTACTACTACTACTACTACTACTACTACTACTACTACTACTACTACTACTACTACTACTACTACTACTACTACTACTACTACTACTACTACTACTACTACGTACTACTACTACTACTACTACTACTACTACTACTACTACTACGACGACTACGACGACTACTACTACGACTACGACTACGACTACGACTACGACTACGACGACTACGACGACTACGACGACGACGACGACGACGACGACGACGACGACGACGACGACGACGACGACGACGACGACGACGACGACGACGACGACGACGACGACGACGACGACGACTACTACTACTACTACGACTACTACTACGACTACTACTACGACTACTACTACTATCACAGCTGCTACTACTACCTCTACGACCACAGCCTGCGTCGCTTTTGCTGAGATTGCCTCTACTGCCGCGGCTACTGCTAATGCTATTCCTTGTGCAGCTCTCCTCTCTTCCACTGCGACTGCTGGTGCTCCTCTGCATAGGGTGCAGATGGCTACGGAAACACCTGTTGTGTGAGGCCCTGGCTGGCAGACCAATTCCTCTGGTTCTCGGTGATGCAGCTGAACCCATCTTGGCCCCTTCCGCCCTGGGCTCTGGATCGGGGTGCTCGTCCTCCCGGCCTGGCCACGAGAGGCTGTGCCGCCCACCTTCGCGCCCCCGCGCCGCCGCCGGGGGAGGGGGAACATCACCTCTCGGGCCCCGTCCGCGCAGTGCGGCCGCCCTCGCGCCCCCGGGGGCGACCCGGGGGACGGCAGCGGCACAGGTCCAGGTCCCACGCCTGGCTCGGTTTACGCAGTCAGCTAGCGTCCCCAGTCCTGATCGGCCTCTGCTCCGCGGCCGCATCCATCGTCTTCGGCCTCCGCTCGCATGCGCTCCGATGTGCAAAATCGAGCCAGCCCTCTGGGCGCAAAACGTTTGGCGGGTCAGCTCTTCCGTGGCCCTTCCTCCCCCCTGGGGGAAGGGTTTCCCCCTCCCCTCCACCTCCCCCTGAGTATTGGCCAGGGTTTTGCGAGGGGGGTTTGCGATGGGTTTTGCGAGGGGGTTGGAGGTGGCTTTCAGCCTCAAGATGGCACCAACATTGCCCAATAGAAGAGCCCGAACAGGGGCCCAGAAGGACCCTGCAAGACCTTCAAGAACGCCCCAAGAGAACCTCAAGGGACGACTTTCTGGCTCCGAAGGGAGGGCCGTACGGCAAATTCGGGTCGTGATGACTCTGGCGCCGATGTCTGGCACCGTGTGCATCGTTCAACCTTGAACGATCGGCGGGTCTCCGATCACAAGACCGTTCCGTACTGGCCGACTCTGGGCCACTGGCGGCGCTCGACCTTGAACGCCCGCCCTGGGGTCGCAACTGCGTCGACACGGCACGAACTTCCCGTGACTGGAGGCCATCCTTTCTTCATCGAGGGTCCGTGCGTCAGCCCCCCGAGGACCTCCCAGAGGGCCCCACAGGCCCCCTGCATGGCCTGCCAACCCTCCGCCCGTGGCAGCTTGCCCGGGACTCGACTCAAGACGGACCCGTGGGGCTACGCGAAGCGTCCGCAAAGTCGAGGGCCGAGCGGAGACCCGGCTGCCGCGCGGGGGACTGCCTGCGGGGCAGCCGGAGGCCCGCCGGGCACGCTGAAGCCATCCTGAACCGAAAAAAGCGCAGAGGAGCGCCTCCGACGCCGGGCGATGGAGGGGCGACGATCGGGGGGGGACTGGCACAAGGGGGGATGCATCGACCTGGAATCGGCGATACGCCGCCGATGGATCGGCGATAGGGCCCCGACAGTGAGTCCGCACCTTCCTGGGCGGGTCGGGGCTATCGGGCCCCTATCGGCGATCAATGGGCGATTGGGGGTCGATGCGTCCCTCCTTATGCCTATCCCCCCCTATCGTTGCCCCTGAGCGATGACGTTAGCCCAGACCTCCGCTGCCAGGGTTCTGCCACGACGTGGGTACAGCCAGACTTAGGACGCAAGAACATCCAACAGACACGAAGAGCATTAGGGTGCGTTCCCTGCACCGACCTCGATCGTATACCTCGGTCAGGAGAGCCCAGCATCGAATCGATGTCGGATCTGCTATCGGAATGAATCAAATCGGCGGAGATCGGCAGCCGAGTTGGGAATAGTCGAATCGGCAGAAATCAACAGCCTAGTAGGCCTCCATTAAGAAATCGGAGCCCAAATCGGAATCCGAACTCGAATCGAAGTGGAATCAGAAACCATCGAAATCGAACCGGATCGAATCGGAGGAATCGAAACGAGCCCACTCGGTCCGACCGTACCGACCTCGACCTATCTCCACAGCCGCTCTTCCGCCGCATGCGATCTCTTATGGCCCTGGGGCGCGAGAGCAGGCCCCCCCACCCTGCCCCCCGACGCCACAACTGACGAGGATCGCACGTCGCGCCTTCTCGGACTCTCTTGCGCAGCGGGGGCGGGAGGTCCGGGGAGGGCATCGGGGATGAAGTCAGGTCGGACTGTGGTCGGAATATACAAGGTGGTCAGAACATATTCAACAATTGCTTAACAAATGCTCGAAACATCGTCCCCAGATTTTTTTTTGTGTGTGTGTGTGTGACTATTTTGGAATGTTCCTCCTATGGAGGGACCCGACTTGAGGATGACGGGGGCTGGAGGAGGGGGTGGGGGGGGCGAGCAGAGGTCGGCGGAGGAACGAAGATCGGCGGTGGCGCCTCGTGGCGCCCCTGAGGTGTGGGCAGCTGCGCTGCTGGAAGGCGGCCGCAGACTCCAGCCCGGCAAGGAGGCGAGAAGGGGGGAGCGGAAGCGAGCCAGAGATTCTGCTCGGAGCCGCGAGAACGGTTTCGGCGGGTCGGGGGGTCTTTTTTTTGGGGGGGGGGTAAGGGGGGGGGGGGGGGGCTCCGGGCTGCCCCGGTCGCCCCAGAGAGTGCCACGTCGCCCACTCCCCTGGCAGAGATCTCGAGGACGACGCAGCACCTGGCGGGAGGAAGCAGAGGACGAGCACCTCAGAAGTGCACTGCGGCGAGCGTTGCTGCACCCCGCCGCCTGCTGCGGAACCCGCGAGTGAGACAGGGGCGACCCCTTACAGGCACTGCGGGCCCGAGGGGGAAGGCGCACGACATGTCGGATACGGTCATCCGGATGATGACGATGATGAGGAGGACGAGAAGGAGACGGAGTAAGATGACGATGATGATGAGGAGGAGGAGGAGGAGGAAGAGGAGGAGGAGGAGGAGAACGGTATGATGATGATGATGATGATGATGATGATGATGATGATGATGATGATGATGATGATGATGATGATGATGATAATGATGACGATGACGATGACGATGACGATGACGATGATGGTGATGATGGTGATGATGATGGTGATGATGATGGTGATGATGCTGCTGCTGCTGATGATGATGATGGCCCATGGACGCCGTCGCCCAAACGTGGGACAAGCAAGGATCCTGGCCAAAGTGCCTCCAGCTTTTCGCGCCACTTCTCGGAACGACTGGGGGGCCGTCTGGGCCTCCCTGTGGGCCAGCTGGGGTCGCCCGGGGCCAGGGGGAGTCGCTCCGGCCCCGGGCAGAAGCTCAAGGAGGAAGCGTACCATGGCAGGCCGAGAGGGAGCAGAAGGGACGACGAGGACGATGAGTATCAGGATGGGGAGGGGGAGGAATAGGGGTAAGGAAGAGGATGATGATGATAATGATGATGCTGATGATGATGATGATGATGATGATGATGAGGATGATGTTGACGTTGATGTTGATGAAGATGATGGCGATGACGATAATGGTGATGATGGTGATAATGATAATGATGATGATGATGATGATGATGATGATGATGATGATGATGATGATGATGATGATGATGATGATGATGATCATGATGTTGCTGATGATGGTGATGATGATGATGCTGCTGATGATGATGATGATGATTGATGGTGCTGATGATGGTGATGATCATGGTGGTGATGATTATGATGATGATGCTGGTAATGGTGATGGTGCTGGTGATGGTGATGATGGTGATGATGATGCTGCTGCTGCTGTTGCTTATGATGATGATGATGATGCTGATGATGATGATGATGATGATGATGATGATGATGATGATGATGATGATGATGATGATGATGAGGACGAGGGGACACACATCATGTGGACCTTTCTGGCCAGGCCCAAAAGCCTGAGCTACAACCAATGACGCAGGCACACCACTACCAGTCGCCGAAGCGCCCGACTTGACATGCCCCCCTGCGCAGATGCACGTTTCACTCGACCAGCCCGCGGGCAAAACAAAAATCAGCCAGCGCAGACTCCAAAAAGATCAGGTTACCGAACTCAAGTGGGCCGACGTGGACTGACGTAGACCGGACTGGAGTAGGCTGGACTCGGGACTCTGCTCCACCCTGCTCTACCCTGCCCCTATTTCTTGTTAGATGCTCCCACCCTGCCGCCCAGCTAACCGATAGGGGCCACATCCGGGGGACCCCATCCTTTTTTCCGAACAACAACGTGAAGTCAGTGTTTTTTCGTCTCAACAGGGGCAGTCTGTCGTCGACGCTGCCACATGCGTCGCAGGAGTGGGACGCGGCCCATATCCCGCGCGAGAGGGCGAGATGTCGCTCTCGCCCCGGCGCCACGTTCACTTGTCCACAGAAGTGGGCTCCTGCTGGAGCGAGGCGCGCATTTTTTTGGCACGCCAGTTCGTCGACGCGCGAGCGGGCGAAGCTATCGCCCTTGCCCCGGTGCCGGGCAGATCTTTTGCCTGAAAGTGGCGCTCCCGCCTCGACGCCGCGCGTAAGGAGGAGGAGGAGGAGGAGGAGGAGGAGGAGGAGGAGGAGGAGGAGGAGGAGGAGGAGGAGGAGGAGGAGGAGGGAGGAGGAGGAGGAGAAGGAGGAGGTTTTGGGGGCCCCCGCGCGACTGGGCGACGTGTCGCCCTCGCCCGCGCTCCGTGTGTACTTCGCTCGGAGGCGGCGTCCTCGCGTGGGCGCGCGACGCAGGGCTCGCCCGGCGAGTGGCGGGAGAGCGGCCGCGGCCTGCGGGGCCGCGCGAGAGAGCGGGCAGAGCGCCGGCCTCGCCCAGGCGCGCCGCGCAGCCGCGGAGCGGAGGCGGCAGTGGCTGTGTGTCGGCGCGGCGCCTGCTTCGTCTTCGCCGCGCCCGTCGGAAACTTGCCGCTCCCGCCCCTGCGCGGCCTTCCTGTAGAGGCTGTAGAAGGAAACAATTAGTGACCCCCCCCCCCTGCCCCCCAAACTCAAGGTTGGCACGCGCGGGGGAGACTGCGGTCGAGGTGCAACTCATCACGCCCACCGCCAACTTTGGGAGGCAGGGTGGACATAGGCGGGACCCACTGACTCGCTCGATCTAGCTAACTTGACTCTGTGATTTCCGCTCACTCCCCGAGCCTTTCCTGCCCCTGCTCTTGCTGCTCTCACCCTTCTTCCCGCTGCCTGTTTTGGTTCGGAACTTATACTAGGGCCCTTGGCCTTAGAGCTACGCAGTTTGATTGCCGCGCGATCATTCGACAAAACGATATCAGCGATATCAGACCCTGCGGGTCTTCCATATCACAGTGGTAGCTAGGAGCGAGGCTCGCTGCCCGGCCTTCGGGCCTTACATATTCCACGACGACGTCTGCGACTCGTCTGCCCACGGAATCGACGGCCAGCGCCGTCCAGCTCTGCCGCCGCGCAGTGCTCATCTTCACATTCGTGATCAGCGCCGTCAGCGACAGCGCAAAGCCCAATACCTACACCCCCTGCCAGCTCTCTGCCTCGGCAAGCGCCGACATCCCGAACACTTTCTCCCACGCCAGCGTCTGCGACGCCAGCACCTACCCCTTCAAGTTCAACACCGTCTGCGACAGTACCAGTGACGCCAGCGACTTCACCGGAAGCCTACCTTCAACATCGGCAAGCGCCAAGATCCCCTGCAGCCTATCTCCAACATCGGCAAGCGCCGAGATCCCCTGCAGCTTATCTCCTACATCGGCAAGCGCCGACATCTTCAGCATCAGCGCCGTCAGCGACAGCGACAAGCCCAACGCCTACATCCCCTACCAGCTCATCGACACGGCAGGCGCCGACATCGATTACGGCATCGAGTTTGATTTCAATTTCATTTCGTATTCTGGTATTCCTTGCAGTTCATTCGTAGACAAAATGACGGAGTTCAATCATAACCAGTCAGTGATACCAAGCTGGAATGGAGATCCAGCGAAGTGGCGAGATTACAAGCAAGAAGTTAAATTGTGGAAGCTCAGCGAGAACCTGGAAGTGACACAAAGCTTGGCATCGAAGTTAGTCTTGAGGTTGACGGGTACCGCCAGATCGGCTGTACTCAACATGACGGGGCAGGAACTCCACCCGCCGCCGGACGCCGACATTGAGGAGGCAAACGAGAAGAAGCGCGATCGGAACCAGAAGGGCATCGAGAATGTGCTGAAGCATCTCGAGACAAACCTAGGCCAGCAGAAGCCGGTACAGAAGGGAGAGACGCTAGAGAAGTTCTTCGAGTCGACTCAGCATCGTCGCCGCCGTGGAGAACGCATGACGGACTGGCTCGTGCGATTCGAAGCGGGACTACAACAACTACGCGAGAACGAGGTTGACCTCACTGCGCTTGACGACGTGGCCGGCTGGTTCCTGCTGCGCAAGGCTGGGCTCACGGCCGAGCGCCGTGAGCGCGTCGTAGGCAACTTGCCGGACGAGTATTACTCATTTCAGCGCATCAGGGGCCTGCTGGTGCGCATGTTCCCTGATATCCATACGTCGGAACGGCATGCCAGCTTGCCGTCGCGA